AGAGTATGCATATCAAGAATGTCAAGTCGGAATTCCAATGGGGTGAATAGTACACCTGGAATAAATTAATTAATCTAATTAATTAAATATTACTATATTTCAAAACTTCTCCAATCACTCTCAATTTAATCTATGTTGAAGAGCATGCTAGGGCCTAATATAATATGCTAACACACATCGATTTCAAGCTAGTTAAGGCCACATGAATTAATATTTTATTCTAGTAAAATATTAAATAAAATCTTTGTTACTTGTCTAATTTCTCTCAATTTAATATATGTTAATCAACATATCAAAGGGTAATATTCTATCATGCCACATGATTAAACAAAGCTATGGACAACCGGAAAAATTAAATCTTTCACAAGAAAATTAAATAATAAAATCTCTAGATTTCATATTTAAGCATGTAAATAAGTTGTATAAGCATCAATAGCATGTTATATAACAATAATTAAACCTATAACACCCCCTACCTCAATTTGAGATGAAAACCTCAAAGGCCCACCGAAAAAAAAGTGTCCGAAACCGAAGGGATTTGTCGGGGACAACACGATCTACATGAATCCGAAGGAAGCCCCATGAAAATCACAACTTGACCTCAAACCCAAACTCAAGAAATGGTCAAAAATGAATTCTAATAAGAGGGAATGGTAGAACACGTCGAGGGGAACAAAAACCGTGAAGGCTGAAGACTTTTTACTTAGGAAAAGTAAATCAAAGGAGGAGAGAGAAGGTGACAGCTCCATGGGCATCCATGGCTACTTCAGGTCGTGCAAGGACAGTGGGGAAGATGAAAAATAAAATATTTCACCCCCCCTTTTATATAAATCGCAAAAAGTGCCCCGAACGGGCCCCGCCGGGTCTGGAAAAGTGAAATTTGAGCAAACGCACTCAAATGGTAGAACTCCATGAATGAAAAAGATTCAAAATGAGAAAATATGAATAAAGGAAGAAACGGCATCAAAAACTGAGTCTCGAGCAGAAAGTTATGCCCCGAACAAGTTCAACGGCAACCGGGTCCAGAAACTCTGAAACTGGAGAAAAACGACCAGAAGGAAATTCTATGAATTTACGAGTTAACGAAAAGTGAAAATGAATCCCGTACGAGGATCTAGGCTCCAGACGAGATATTTTGTAATAACTTTAGTTAATTGCACAATGGCCCCTACAAAAAGGGTTAACTGCTAAACTGCCCCAGAATGAAAATATCTTCCAAAAGATATTTTCTTAGATACCCCTGAAATAAAATACCTTAAAAAGATATTTATGAAAAACACCCCAAGAAAAGAAAAAGATTCTGAAGAATTGTGCATCCACGCCTCTATGGACACCGAGAGCAACAAGAGTACTTTCTTGCAAAAGTGAAGATACGTATTTCAAGAAAACCACTCAAGATGAAGGCACGTGAAGTCAAGAACCAACTCCGAGCATGAGAAGTGAGGTTGTGCCAACAATGTGACAAACGGGGAAAAGACAGAATAGGGAAAAAGATGAACAGGGAAAAGGACGAAAGGCGCATAGTGTTCGAAAAGTGAAAATGCGAAAATGACTCGGTCCTCAAAGGAAGTTGTCAATTCACATGAAAGAGTCTCATAAACCAATTCCGAGCACTCGAGATGACACTAAGCGACACGAAATAGAGCTCAGAAAAGAAAATTAAACGAAAAAAATTCATTTGTAAAATTTCAAGAAAAAGGAAAGGGAGGCAAATGACCGGGTCGTTACAGTCCTTAGAGGTGTTTAAACGCCTAATGCCCTAAAGCCATCTGGTTTGAGAGTCATTGACCTAACGCTCGACCTCATAGATCACTAGAAAGCTTAATAGATCAACACATTGCACCATGCTTCCATCTTTGATCATCTAAGATAGGAAAAAAAAAAAATTTTAGTGAAAAGAATAAGCACACCTAGTTGAATAAAGCTTTAATAAAAGGTCCATTCTTTGTTTTGATGATCAGTACTAGATTTGTGTGCTAGTTTAAAGCCGGATGTGATCATTTCTCTAGTTAGCTTAGATAGCAACACATTTGATGCCGGTTCACTTAAAAGGATTCTAGAGTTGTTTTGATTTGCAAGATCATTTTCTTAATGTGTATAAGATCATACTTGGTTGCTTGGTGTTGAAATTTTGGGAGATTGCTTGGAAATGGTTGAAAAATTACATAATTGAGGTAGTTTTCTCCTAATGCTTATTTTGTATATTGGTGCCTCTTTTGTGAGAAAGAGCTCAATGTTTGTGGATATCATTTTTGGAAACCCTCACGAGACTTCACTCGTCCACTAGGGGTAACCTAGGGGTTTAAAAGGCTTGTTGCATACATTAAATGCAATCGTGTTCCCTACGAAAGTGGCGCTATCATTTTATTGCTTTCTAGTTCGTAGTTGCTTAGTTGTTTATTTCTTTATTTTCCTTATAGTTCATTGCTATGGACTAGTAATATCTAAGTTTGGGGGTGTGATGAGTGCTCAAATGTGACGCATTTTAGCACTTAAGTAAGGATATTTTAGTTCATTTATCTATCTTTATTTTCCCGTTTTATTACTTATTTGTGTTTTTGTCTATTTCAGAGTCAATAAGGTTCAAACGGGCTAAAAATGGTCTATTACAGCCTTTTTAGAGTCAAACAAAAGTTTCTAGAAGATTTTAGAAAAATTCGGAAAAAGGTCAAAAATGCTGAAAATTTGGATGGATCGAAGATATTTTGGATCGATCGAAAATGTGCTGGCAGCGAGCTATTTTATTCCCGCGCGCCCGAGTTCCACCTACCACATAGTTGCGGGATTAGATATTTTTGGGGCTGTATTTCTGACTTAGTGACTAAGAAAATGACCTTGTATTTAAAGGGAATTGAACCATTTTTTGTAATCAATCAATCATATCTTCTTGTCTTCAATTTTATTTCATTGTAATTTTTATTTTTTCTCTCTAGAAAAGTTAGAGATTAGGGTTAGAAGAAAAGAGAAGAGTGGAGGCACCAAGAACACATCTCTAGATCTATACACACACTCTCTCTAAAATTCAACAAAGAAGAAGAGGAAAAAGATAGAGCCATGTTTGGGGATTGCCCTTGAGGGTTCCAAGATCACATCCACCTCCTCCATGATTGGCTAGACTTTTCCTTGGCGCTTGGATGGGCCCCAAGTTTGTAATTTAAACCTATCTTTTTCATACTTTTTGGAGAATTTATCTTGTGATTAGTGCTATAGCCTTGTGAATAAAATGAATCTTAGTATATTTCTATGGTTTAATTCTTCCTATTAATTCTCTAGTTTATTTACATGTCTATGTGTGATTAAATTGGGAATTATGTCTTAAATGATTCATATGGTTTAATTCTTCCTATTGATTCTCTTTATGATTACATATTGTCTTATGTGTGATTATTTGGGAATTGATCTCTACACTAATTTCTCAATGTTGGTTGCATGTCTATATATGATTAATTAATGATCTAGTGATGTCTATGCATGGTATTCATTGAATGGATTTGTCAATTAATTTGATGGATTATTCTTATGCTTGATGGGTTATTCTACATGACACTGGTTAGTTGTTTGTCATTGGGGATATATTTTTACACAAAAGGTATAAAACAACGACCGAAGCTAAAAATAAATAATTTAATTTTTTTGTGTAAATCTATTATGACACATCAGATTTATACAAAAAAAAATATACACAACGGTTGGAGATGCTCAAGCATCATTTTGTTCTTTATTTCCCACTATAAATAAAAGTAAAATCCATGTCCTAAATTCAATAACTCCTCGCGCCACTGCCGTTGTTTCTAGAACCGACCCTAGTTGAGAAATTTACAATTCTACTATATCCTATCATTGATTCCTGGACTCAATAGGAAATACCACGAAAGAAAAACCATACCTGACTGACCTGTTTCTCACTTTGCTACCTATTTTCCTTCTAAATATGTCATAAGGTAGCGAAATTCCTTGTCGGGTAAGTTCCAACCTGCACGAAAGGCGTAACGATCTGGGCACTGTCTCGGAGAGAGGCTCGGTCCAATTTCCGTTCCAAATAGAATCTTGTGTCCGTGTTCAGTCAAGAAGAGAAAGTCCTATCAATAGTTGTCATGAGCATCTCCAACCGCGATGTATATATATATATATATATATATATATATATATATATATATATATATATTTGTATAAATCTGATGTGTCATAATAGATTTACACAAAAAATTTGGATTATTTATTTTTAGCTCCGGTAATTGTTTTATACCTTTTGTGTAAAAATATATCCCTAATAACAAACAACCAACCAGTATCATGCATGGACCCCGCATAATTTTTACAAACCTACTTAATATATGATTGATTTGTTAATGAAATGAAAAAGAGGGAGGAAAAATGAAATATGTTGATGTGGCTGTGTAAAAAGGTTGTACAAAATACACAACAATTTTACATTTTGGTGACATCTTAATCGACTGCTGGAGATAATATATTTTACAAAAAAGAGTATTTTAACAAACTGTTAGAGATATTTTACTCCTATAGATGCTCTTAATCCCAGTTTACTATAGAAAGCTTTTAAGATATTTTGTTTTTTTTTTTTTTTTTTTTTTTTTTTTTTACTTTAAAAAAAATATTAATTATACATGTTAATTGGTCGAGAGTGAAAAATATGGGGGAATAAATAAATAATATATGTATCTATTTATACTCTTTATCTAATAAATCAATAACATATGTACAGTTGTAAAAAAAATAACATATGTACATTATAGTATCTATTTATATATATATATAGTAGTATCATAGTTCAAGTAAATCTTATCAAATTACAAATCGTTATCAACTTTCAAGTAATCCTATTTAAAATATGGATTAACCAACCTCGGAGTTTACGACAACTTAAATTCCTGGGTCCAGTGCCCGTATATGTTGATGATATATAGATTTTTATTTATATATCGGACGGTGACGAGACTGAGTGTCCTCTATCCTCCATACTCCGCCAGCGCACATCGTCACACCCACCTGTTGTTGTTGTAGAATTCATTCGCTTTGGCGGTCTTTCAAACTTTGCATCCACCTTTCCTCTCCCAGTTCGCTTCCATTGGCCGTATCGTTTTCTCTCTCTAGACTACACCAATCTCTTTCCTTTCTCTCTCTACAATTTCCTTCCTCGCTAAGGCAACCCTAGTTCTTCAATTCTCGCTTGGTCTCAACTGATTGACGAATTAACGGAAATGGTAGGACTCTTCTGCACATTAGACTCGCAATAATATACGAGGTAAATAACTTTATTTATTAATTATTATTATTTTTTGTTTTGTTTTCCTGTCCGTTTGATTGCTGAGATAATATAGAGGAAAAATTGGAAAAACAAAAACCGATTGTTGGTGGTTCATGTGAACTGTATTACATGTCTCTCGACTTCCCCAAATACTGAATTTTCTCAGACCCAGTGACCAAAAAAAGCGAATCACTTCTGCAATTTCCCTCGTTTTCTTTTTTTTTTTTTTTTTTTTTTTTCCGCGAAAGTTTAATCAAAGGACTTTAAGTAATTCAAGTTGCTAGTTTGTTTGTGTAAATATCAAGCTGTATAGTTCAATATTTTTTTTTTTTTTTTTTTTTTTTTTTTTTTTTTTTTTTTTGGAGTTTTTGTTATTTTTCTTATTTGATTTTGTTATTCTAAATGTGTTGACTTTGAATTTAATTTAATTTGATGCTTTTGAATTATTTATCTTGATTGCTTACCTTATTCATTTTTATCTGGGTATTTTGATTCAGGGTTTATTTTGTGTCTAACTTTTTGGTTATGTTGAATGGATAGTTCAGAGATACAGGAGTCAAACATTTGAGTTTAAAACAGCAAATTGTTCACTTTATTGGGTTAACAAGCAATTTATTCTGGAAAATTGGCAATATGGGTTCCGGTGTGGGTAACATTTTATTGAGATTGGGGTCGATAACTTCGGACTCTAATAACGGTTTCATAGACTCCGTAACCTTATTCGTGGCACTCCTTTGTGGTTGCATTGTGATCGGTCATCTTCTCGAGGAAAACCGGTGGATTAACGAGTCAATTACTGCCCTTTTCATAGTGAGTTCTTCTTTTTCTACTTACCCTAGAAACAGTTAGCCCTTAATTTGACCATTGACTCTTCGCATTATTTCTGTATTGCTTTCATATATGTTGTCATTTGATTATGGAGGCTCTAGATGATTATATATGGGGTTGATGGCAGGGTTTGTGCACTGGGACTATTATCTTGGTGACTACTGGTGGAAAAAGCTCGCGCATTTTGGAATTTAATGAAGAACTTTTCTTTATTTATCTTCTTCCACCTATTATATTCAATGCTGGGTAACTTCTGTTTTCATTTCATCTCATTTGTTCTATATCATTCAAGTTAATAGCAATCTATTCTTGCAAGTTAATAGAATTTAAATTATAATAAACAATTTTTTATTTCTATTGTTTTCAAATTAGGTCCAAGTGTTGCTTTTACAAGTTAAATAAGTGCAAATTATTTATTTAATAGGTCCTAATCTTTCCAGTTGCAAAGTGTAACTTAGATGCAATCACAACAATCTCGACTAAAGAGCCCATTTGGATGTGATGCTTGCTCCATAATGAGTTTGGCTTAATTATCTTTGCTTCTATGATTTAATGCTTTTACAGTTCTTTAGTTGGAATTTAATTAATGAACTTAGCTCAAAATGTAGGCACATGAGATAGTTTGAAAGATTAGAGTTATTCCACTTTTTAGATAGGTTGCAAGTTTGTAAGTCACAAATATATGATGCTCCACAAAGTTCATCGTTTGAGAGAAATTGAACTTAAGTCAACTCAAAAAAGCCTTTTATCATCATTTGTTCTGTTTATACAGTTCACTCACAAAAATATGTGAAAGTGCGAGGGTGTGCCAGAGCCTTAGAAAGACTCTAGAGAGAACGAACAAGAAATTGAAAGAAGGAATAAGAAATTTGAAGTAACTGCATGTAATGTGAAGGAATTGAAAGACTTCGAATGAAAAGACTTGTATTGAAATTATGGGAATTGAAATAAAAGGAATTGGTTCTTTGCCAAGAAAAAAAAAATTACACGGAATTGAAGTGCATGAAAAGATAAATGACAACCGAAGTAAATTGACATTGGCATGGAGGAGTGCAAATGTTGCCCCAAGTGTGCTATTTATGGATCTTCGGTTGTCGTTTGTGGCTGCCATGATATTCAACACATCAGGCCACTAAACCACTAAACTGTGTCCTGTGTGGTCATCAATTAAATCATTCATCAGCTGACACATGTCCGATGTCTTGTATCTCCTCCAATCCATTTCTCACCATTTGTTTAGCTTCCAATTAGTCCCCTTCGTAACCCATTTTCCTCAAAAATAGGTACTGATCCATATTCATAGTCTTCGAGTGCCGAGTGTCCTTCCACCAACCCATTAACTAAACCCATAAATTAATAAATCAACAAGTCAGCCCATTTTCCTGCTAACCATCGCCGTGATTTTAGCAATTGTAGAACTAGAACCACATCATGACCCACCTCATTTTATTATAGCAACCAAGTGTCAGCTACAGTAATTACCCAAGTGTCTTATTCTGGTTTATTAATGTCAATGTACATATGGTAGGCTGTAGTAATCCACGTCGTTACCCACATGAAGCCCATTCACTGGTCCACATTGATGCCGAAGTGGCTGCCACTTTTGGGTGTCAAAAACAGTAGAACTTTATTCTATGATAATAACATGCGAGTCTCTCTTATGCATAGCATATTAGGAGACTAAGATATGTTTAGTTCAAGCTAAAAAAACAAACTAAAATTCTTGAGGCATATGATCTGTTTGTTGTTACTACTATTTCTAGTACTCTTATAAATGATAAATCTATAATTCCTTTATTGCCATTTAGCTAGTTTCTTGATGCGCATGACCTTAGCTTACTAATGGTTATTCGAATCTTCCATATAATATGCTTTTAATTGCTCATTGTGTTATGGTTGTATACTGACATGCGTATACATTTTGACGATTAGTGATTTAAATTGTAAATATGTTTCCATGCCAATCTGATGCTTTGGCACTTCTTCTCTACCAGGTTTCAGGTGAAAAAGAAGCAATTTTTTCGGAACTTCATGACCATCACATTGTTTGGTGTTGTTGGTACATTGATATCCTTCGGCATCATTTCATTTGGTATGTTTCAGGAATTTTGTGCTTGCTCTTTAGCCATACAAACAATTATTATCCCACAACAAAGTAAATTGTCATTTTATCCTTTGTACTGATCACCTTTATTTCCACGATTATTTTTAAAATTTAGAATTTTATACAAGATGCTCAATGATTTATTATGTTTGTCTACACATTAATGTGTGTGTGTATATATATATATATAAAAGATTCATATATTATTTATTGTCTCAGTTCAATTAAATCTTGTCACCTGTAGCATCTCATTTTTAAAAATAAAAAATAAATAAAAAGTTCTCTGAGAATCATCTTTCTTTAACCTTTTATTTTTGTATTTTCAGAATTTTTTATTTTGTTTTAAAAAACTCAAACTTGTCCTTCTTTTTCTTGTCTTTTTAATTCTTCCTATTATTTATAAAAACTTATGGCATGTTTCTAAATTGCACAGGAATCAACCTTCATTGATTTTTTTTGGTTGGTACAATAGTATACGTGTAGTTCAAAATTTAACTAAAAGAAACAGTGATGAAGGTTAAGATGCATGGTGTCTTACCAACTTTTTCGGATATAAGTGACGTCTAGGAAGCATGGGCACTTATCCTGGGGTGCCGTGGCAGTATCGGACACTCGACATTGACACGTGTTGGACACGGCTAGAAGTGTCTTGAAATTTAAATATTTTTATTTTTTGGTTGGACATGGCTGCAACACAGCAAGGACATGTTTTGGACACTTTTAGCACACAGCGGGATGGTATTGTAATTATTTTCTGGGGTAAAATGCTCCAACATCCCCTGAGGTTTGCCTTTATTGCTCATAGATTAAACCAGTGAAAAAGGAATAAGCCTAAACCACCCCTCAGGTTTGGTTGACTTTGCTTTCACACCCTCGCTTGTTACTTGACCGTCAGACACATTAAAAGTCACTAATTTGAAAAAAAAAAATAAAAGGTCAAAACTACGCTTCTTTGTTGCCCATACAATTTGACCCATAATTAGTTTGGACCTTTATACCTTTACATAATTATACTTATATATTGGATATATGAACTTACAGAATGAAGGGGTTTCTCTCTCTCTCTCTCTCTCTCTCTCTCTCTTCGTCTTATGAGTTGTCTAGGTAGCTTCCCGAAGGAAGGATTTAAGTCACGTTATTCCAGTTAGTTTCTTCGTACATTAACAATTAGTAAAACATTATATGATGATTATAGTGATTTGGTCAACTTGATACACCAGCCAGTGATGATGAAGAAACTCTTTCTTTGCTTGCTTGACGGCTGCAAACATGGACGGAGATGCTTTACTACTTTCTTTCTCTATCTCCTCTTCCTCGCCTTTCTCCCCTTCTGAAATGCTCATATGATCCCAGCATCATAGTGTCATTTCCATTACCAAACACACCATATTAATTAGCCTCTCAACTTACTCTCAATTCAAATCCAATCAAACATCTAAAAAACACACACACCCCCACCTTGCCTGCAGTTATTTGATTATGGACCCAAAGCTAATTCTAACAATCCTTATAAAAATAGGGGGAAAAGAGAGAGATACAGGCAGAGCAAGAAATATGATTTTTTCCATTTGATGGTTCTCCAAGAAGATATTTAAGGGAAAGGAAGATACCCCAAATCAATTAAATTGCGAATGCCCATTCAAGCACATGTTCCTGGACTTTAATGAGATAACACATCAAAACGATACAATATTTGTTTGAACACAATAAGACAATATAATCAGTTATTTAATCGTGTCAGTATCTACCAATATGAAATTTATGAAGGTCCTCATTATGGCACATAGAAAATATATCTATTTTAGGTAATTAAATACAATGGTCAGCAGGGATCCGCCCAAGGAAAACATTAAAATTGTTTGCAAGATAAAGATGAAGAAGATCTAAAGCACTTTCTCCTTCTCTTTCCCATATCAGCTTTTCGTACCGAGACAATACCTCTCCATCACCACTCACCAGGACTCGACAGTATCGCTCTTCCACAGTACTCTTCAGCTTTACCTGCATCTCTCTCTACTAATTTCAACAATATCAAAACACAAAACATAATCAATAATCAAGCTTAAATCACATTGAAATCGTAATCTTATAACAAGTTAAAAATTGGAACTCAATCGATTGATGAATTGTTAGTACCTCGTGCAAGAACTTGTCGTAGTTTCTGAGAAGAAGAGAATTTGTAGGGTTTGAGTCCAACTAATAATACGCACTGATCTTGCTGCAATCGGTCTCATCACCGTCGTTGAAAGCACGGAAATCAAAGTCATCGCTGCAGCTGCCACCACTGCCAAGGATCCTTCCTTTACCTATTCCATGGTCGGAAAATCCTAATTCCTGAACAGGAATCCCTCTCTCCGGCCAATCTGTGGCGTAGTTCCTCCTATCGAATCCTCTTAGGTTTTTTGAGATGGAGTGATGGAGGGTTTCAGAGATGAAGATGGAAGGTTTCATAGATGGAGTGATGAAGGGTTTCAGAGATGAAGATGGAAGGTGTTAAAGTTTCTCAAACTTCTAAGGGTTGTTTCAAAGAGAGAGAATCCGAAAATGTTGTTTTGGTGAGATCGTTTCAGCTAATCAAATAAAGGGCAAAAATTAGATTTCCCGTTTTAACAATACACGTCATCAATGACGTATGCAAGGGGTTAAATAAAACAATGGGTAAAATGGTAAAATCACTTTTTTCGTCAAAAAAAAAAAAAAAAAAGGGGATACTGATGCTAATTCTGGCAAGGGGTGTCAGAGCATTTTTTGACCAACTTTAATATGAGAGCAATAAATGAAATCATGAGGGGGGAGGATTTTACCCTTCTTTTTTTTAGAAGAATGTAATTCAATGCAATTTTAATATATTATGGGTTAATTAGAAAGATAAAATAAAATTTAATAAAACAAAAATAACAAACATCCCATTTTACCAAGGGGAAAAAACAAACATCTAGCTCTAAGTTCCAAATTAGTGATTTTATTCATGATTATATGGATAAAATGACCAAAAATTATCAATTTTGTATATATAATAATATATTCTATTATTATTTTTAACATATCCATGTCTTATTTTTTTAAGATTTGCCATATTGTCGCATGTCTCCACATCGTGTCGTACCAATGTCCCGTGTCCGTATCCGTGGTTACTAGAGTTACATTCACATATTTGTCTCGCCTTCTTGTTACTAGCATGGGTCATGATTACTGTCTTAAAAACTTTGTTGCAAAGCATAAAACGGAAGCGAAGAGATAAATGAAACAAAGAGCCTACTAGGGCCTACATCTACGGCACAAAGAGCACATCACTTTTATAATACTCTCAATTCATATACGATACAATGGTGGAGGCTCCTTTATATGGGAGAAGAAATTATGAGCATGGAAAGAGATAGAAAATAGTAAATAAGGAGGATTTTTCTTCACTGATTTCTCTATAACACCAAATCTTCAATAATAGGAAACAACATCAATTACTGAAAGATTTATCTCCACTGATTTCTCTATTAAATCTTCAATACCCCCCTTTAAGTTGGAGCATGAATGCCTAACTTGCCATTGAGATGACGAGTAGCAACAAGTGTGAATGATGAAAAGAGAAGACGAAGAATAATGCTACCGAACACACCGGCAGCCCAAACAAGTCAAACAAAAATTGCCGGAGACACGACAAAGGCGAAGACAATGTTACCGAATACACCGGCAGCCCAAACAAGTCAAACAAAAATTGCCGGAGACACAGCAAAAGCAAAGAACAGTGCTACCGAACACACCGGCAGTCCAAGCAAGTCACAAATAGCATTGAGAAACCCTTAGCAACATTTCAAATGCCAAGGGAATAACCCAAAATAGGGGTCCGAACCTAAGAAGAGAAATTAGGCTCTGATACCATGTTGTAAAGCATGAAACGGAGATGTGGTTCAGCCACTAGGGCCTACATCCACGGCACAAAGAGCCAAAGGGCTACATCACTTTTGTAATGCTCTCTCAATTCATATATGATACAATGGTGGAGGCTCCTTTATATGGGAGAAGAAATTATGAGAATGGAAAGAGATAGAAAATAGGAAACAAGTAGGATTTTTCTCCACTGATTCCTCTATCACACCAAATCTTCAATTATAGGAAACAACATCAATTATTGAAAGATTTTCCTCCACTGATTTCTCCATTAAATCTTCAATAAACTTTTTAAGAGATAAGGGGTTTTTCAACAAGGAGGATTTTTCTCCACTAATTCCTCCATTCACGTGTTTCAGTTATCTTGGGAGGATATGCTATTGCTATTACAAAATTAACAATTTTGTAATATTTTGAGTTTTTCCTTGATTGGTTCTTCTAAAGAATCTGAATCTCAATTACACGTTCAAATTTGTTAGATGGTTTCTGATTGATCATGGTCTCAAGTTAAGATTCTTAATCCAGGTGCAACACAATTATTCAAAAAGCTGGATATTGGTTTCCTGGAGATTGGGGATTATCTTGGTACTCCCTCACTCTCTTTGTTTCCGTTTTTCTTATTATTATAATTCTTACTGTTGTTTTTATTCTTAATGTTGTTAGTTTCAATGTTATTGTTATTTTCGTTATGGACTTGATTGCTTCTATTCTTATTTAATATCAACACTTACACAACTACTTTACCTACAATCAAAACCCCAGAGTGGCTCGTGTTGCAGCCCACTCAATCTGAAATTGCGAATAGGCAGAGCAGGTCATCTTATTTTACAATGGCAGGGACATTTGCTTCCATTACTGACCAAAAGGACTCCGAATAAATAAATAAAAAATGTCAAAAATACAAGTATGCAACCTAAATAAATTTAGATGAAAAATTGATACAAGAAAGAAAAAAAAACATAGAAAAGAGGAAACGATAAATTACATGTAAAAGGAGAAGTGGTGAAAGAAAAAACATTGTTAAAGAATTAATTTTCCTTTAGCAATTGTTTCAATTTTCCAAAAAATTAATTATCGAGAAAGAAGATTAAGTATGTTGATTCCACTTTAGGAAAGATGCATCATTATCACCTTGATGAAAGATTAAGAAAAAAATATACAGTTTTAACTAAACAAAATCTCACAAGGTTTAGCAAAAATGATTATCAAGAAAAAAATAGAGAACTATACAAGGAGTAACTATAGAATTTGTCATTTAACAAGTGATAACTAATAACATTAGCATATATGATATCAATGTTGTCGGTATTTTCGTCATCTTGGTCTCAGCACTTTCCTCCTTCCCAGTGCTCTCAAGACTCTTCAATTGAGATTAGCATATAATTCTAAATATTTTTCTTGCAAACACCATCTAGCAAAATTTTCTGACAAGGAATGTTCATGTATTTTTATTAAACATGAGATATCTTGAATTTAGTAAATGGATATTATACTGAAATTTTGAAATTTTGTACGAGTTTTGGAGACCACAAGTTAGATTTGTTTACAAAATAATTATTTTTGGGGGCTATAAACAAGACTTTCGAAATTTTTGGGGCCATGCCCCCTATCCCTTCTAGTTCTGCTCTCCTATTCCCCTGAACATACATGTGTTCATCATATTCCATTTAATTTCGATTATTATTGAGTACATTATGAGTTAATACTTTTATGTAGCTTATCAAATTTTAAGTGTGCAAAGCGTGTTCACATTCCTGTATCCATACATGTACCTGAGTCTAGGTAACATAGCATATGAGTATGAGGAACCCCTCTTTTCACCAGTGTAGCTTATTGTTGACAGTGTTCCCCCCCCCCCCCCCCCCCCCCCCCCCCCCTCTCTCTCTCTCTCTCTCTTTCCCAGCAGAATAATACCTGCCTCTTAAATCGTATGCCTTATTGACATATTAAAATTATCTGACTTTATTACTTGCAGCAATTGGTGCAATCTTTTCAGCAACGGATTCTGTTTGCACCTTGCAGGTTAAACATCTTGTTCTAGGCTATGATTCTTTTCTTTAAAGAGGAGAAAGAAAGAAAAAAAAAAAAAATTGTTTACTGATGTTTCCTGTCTGGTGAGTAGGTGCTTAATCAGGATGAGACACCTTTGCTCTACAGTATAGTCTTTGGGGAAGGTGTGGTAAATGATGCGACATCCGTGGTTCTTTTCAATGCGATCCAGAGGTTTGACCTCTCTCACATCAACTCTGGCATTGCCTTGCAGTTCATAGGCAACTTTTTGTCTCTGTTTATTCTTAGCACCTTGCTAGGAGTGTCGGTAAGTTCATCTCTCTATATCTATACCAATATCTATATATTTATATATCCTGTGAGTATATGTGCCTGCATGTGTGTTTGCATGCATGCATACTTTGTTGGGCTCATAAACAGCTCAAATTGTGACTAAATTTGTTTATCTTAACTCAGTTGACAAGAAGTAAATTGAATTTAATTTTTTCATATGACTATCTGAACCTTTATTTATTTATTTATAATTATCATTTAATTGGATGTCTGATGTCTGATTTGAGGCCATTTTGTTAATGTTGTTATCTCATAGAGGGGAAAGCTCTTTTAGAAACCGTGAAGAAAAAGCCCCTTGTACAATCATGGTGGAATTTGTAGTCATACGTCACAGGGAATTTATGTGGCTTTAAATAAGTTTATTTGTAAAATGAAATTTAGAGACTGGAGAGGAAGAATAATAAAAGAATGAACAACTGATGCAGAAGCAAACCCATCTAATCTGATGAACCTGTTGCCTTAAGTGCTGTCATTAGAGGAGTCGTGCTGCCTAATAGTCGTTTTTAAAAGCATAAACTCAGATTATGTAAAAGCGGTATTCTTCTCCATATTCTTCTTTTGTCATCCTTGTTGACTAATTTCAACTATTTAGGCTGGAAAATTAGTTTTACTTAACCTTAAATTTATACAACTTCACTTTGTCTTGTCTATACTCATTTCTTCTGTCTCTTTACTCTTTCTATATCTTTCTGAGTGCTTGTTTGTCTTGTGTGATATATATTTTTTTCTATCCTTTACTTCACCTAAAATGTTTGCATGACAGTCATTTCTCAAGCATAAATTCAAATTCAGTAACCTTGGTATCCTTCCCCCGGATATGTATGTATATTCCCCCGGTATCATCCATATCATTATATTATACACACACATGCACTCTATGTTTGAAAAATGTGGTTGAGACGGTAAAATGGCACATGGTTTGTTTTGTATAAAACTGGTTGGGTTTCGGGTAGAAATTCTGTTTACTTGGCTTTTTTCTTTAGGGCAATTCAGCACCCTGTGCTATCACAGGTGATTGTGCACTTAAAGATGATGTCATCACATCCTTCACAAACTTCAATGCATGCATTGTGATATGATTTTTACTCATAAAAGAAATATTATATTGTGTAATCTTTTGCTTCTTGTGCTTGCAGATTGGACTGCTTAGTGCATACATCATTAAAAAGTTGTACTTTGGCAGGTATATAAGTGCTAGTTATTCTCGCTTTTTTGTCATTCTATTATATCAAGGTTTAGGTTTCGATTTATTTACACATTGTATAATCTCCATGGGCATGTTTCCTTAAATGACTGAATTTATAGTAATTTCCATTCGATTGCAAAGTTGGCATAATAGAAAGAAAAGAGACTTGAAATTTAATAGCAGATTGGGATTGGGGTAACTGTTTTAGCTTTTAGAATTTTTTTTTGTCTTATCTAATGACTTCTCAACAGTGAAGCATAATGGAATTTTTAGTGTAAATTAATGTACCAATCTCAACGCTGAGCATGTTCTTGTGGTGTATAAGTTATCAACCTTATCCTTTTACCTCTACCTGCTTATTTGAAAATACAGAATTTATTAATAATTTAGAACAATCAGGCACAAAAACTGGCAAATGAAAAGGAACTGATCATCTTGTTCAGTGTGCATGCGAACAATTGAATTATTTGACATACATTCAGGTTGTACGCTCACGATATGAGGTTATAGTATGGGATTTTTCACTTATTCAGAATAGCAACAATGAGAGCTTTGTTGTGCTGGGTGTCATGCCCCTAAAGGACTCACTAAAGCTAGCTTGGACGTCTTATATTGTCTCTTCTTAAAGATGATTATTAATTTTTAATATGAAAAAAAAAACAATGAAACATTTTTTGTACAAGGTTCTTCCAATTTTTAATTTCCTGAAATAACCACAGTAGCTGATCTGTATAACTCTAATAGCTGCTATTGTATGCCAAATTTCAGGCACTCCACCGTTCGTGAAGTTGCTCTAATGATTCTCATGGCTTACCTTTCATATGTGATGGCTGAAGTAAGCATTCCTTAGTCTGTTAAGTAACTTTATGGCTGGAAACCATTATCTACTTTTGATTTTGTTACTGTTTGTTTATTTCAAATATTGCAAACATGTTGCTCCTATTGAACTTTTCTCTTTATCTTCCAGCTGTTCAACTTAAGTGGAATTCTTACAGTATTTTTTTGCGGGATTGTCATGTCACACTACACTTGGCATAATGTGACTGAAAGTTCAAGAGTAACAACCAAGTGTGTAATATCTATGGAAATACCTTCTTAAAAGTTTGAGATCCATATTATCTCTAAAATAATTTTTTCCCTGCATTGTGTTCAGAGTAGTAATGCAAAAATCTTTATGCTTATGTTTATTGATCTCTGCAGGCATTCGTTTGCGACATTGTCATTTGTTGCAGAGATCTTCATCTTCCTTTATGTTGGTATGGATGCCTTGGACATTGAGAAGTGGAGATTTGTTAGCAACAGGTAAGGCCTATAATAGACAAAAGTAGTTGAATAAAATATATATATATATATATATCTATATATATATATATATATATATATTTACTGCACCAGTGTTTCCTCTGGCTTGCATTAGGAATACTGAAGGGAAGTCTGGCTTGTTTTATTTTTCCTAAGAGAAACTCCAGAATCTAGGTTTTTTTTTTTTTAATCAGCTGCACACATTAGCTTTTGATCTCAGCTTCATTTCAATTTCTGCAGCCCTGGAAAATCTGTTGGGGTGAGTTCAGCACTGCTAGGCCTGGTTATGCTTGGGAGGGCAGCTTTTGTATTTCCTCTATCCTTCTTATCGAATTTATTTACAAAATCCAAAAGTGACAAAATTGAGTTCAAGCAACAGGCAAGTATTATTGTAAGATGTTGGAAGTTTCCTATCCTTCTGGATTGCTTTGTGCAATAAAAAACTGAACAACACATAATTATGCAGGTTACAATTTGGTGGGCTGGTTTAATGCGAGGAGCTGTCTCAATGGCACTTGCTTATAATCAGGTAAAAACGTGCACTGTTAAATGCTAGGATGCATGTTTAGAAATGCATTTATAGGATGGCAACCTAAACACTCTGAAGACAATTAAGTGCTGTGTTCATCTTCGTCCCCAGATAAGAATGTTTCAAACAAAACTGATAGATGAAATCCCCCAACAGTATCCTTGTTCATGTCCCAGTTTAGAGTCCTGCCTTGACCTCTCACCAAGTCATGAACAGAAAAGGTTTGATGAGATGACAAGGTCATTTGCGGAAAAAATTTGGGTGTCCCAACTTTATGCTTTGGTACCACTTAAAAGAACCGAAGTTATATTGGACACAGGCTAAGAATCGTTCTTGCACACATGAGACATAAAATGTAAATATTTTCTGACAGACAAAAAACACCAAGTGGATTTCTCCATGACAGAATAGTGACCTGCTTGCTATAAGCAGTAGGACAGTTTAACATCTTTGCATATGGATGAATGTTTGAATCTCAGTGTTGTTTTTGGACTGTGATGCTGCAGCAGTTGGTTGCATTGATTTTATTTTGTACGTGGGAATGTCCTTGTTAATCATATTTAGAATGCATAATGTCTATTAACATAGACAAATATGCTTATGGTGGTGATATTACATGTTGATGCCTGACATTTGATGGATATTCATGCAGTTCTCGAGGTCTGGCCATACTCAGCAGCCGGGGAATGCGATTATGATCACCAGTACCATCAGTGCTGTTCTTTTCAGTACAGTGGTATGAAAAAATGCCCTTATGATTTCACCATTATTTTATCAATAAAGAATGTTCTTCCTTGCAATTTTGGTAGATAGGATCATAGGAAGATGTTTACAACCCATGTCCTCGTGCTACCATGGTATTTATGTTGCAATGTAGGGTGCACGATAAGTACCTGTCTGGTTCTTTCACATAATTTGATAGGTTGTGTTTTTGGTGCATTTTAGTACGATAGTGTGTGAACTGTGTAATTCTGCCGAATAAGTAAAGTGAATGATAAAATCATCATACCCAGTAGACACTTGACAGATCTGAATCCCTTTGATTGTCATCCACTCCCAGAAAATGGTCCATACCACCACCCGGTTTTGAGGTGCATAATATAGTGAAGACCTTTTCATAAAATCTCATTACCGAGTAATTAGATCAAAGGTTTCTTCATTTTTTGGCTGTGCGCTAGCCATGGAACCCATTTAAAGCTAAAAAAAAAAAATGCTTGCGCTTGACTCAATCAATTCATCTGGAGTAGTAGATTCTGCTCATTCCATGTTTAGACTCAAAAGATGACCAAGATTTCTATACGTATACGTTTTGTTTTGTTTTTTTTTTTTTTTTTACTTGGACAAAATTCATTTTTATTGTAGTTTGGTTTTCTTTTTTTTGATTTTTAGGTGTTTGGATTGTTGACCAAGCCTCTTATAAGGTTATTGCTGCCTAAATCAAGACAATCTAGCAGTATGACGTCCTCCGAGTCATCTAGTCCAAAATCCGTCTTGCTGCCACTTCTCAGCAATGGACAACAGTCAGAAGCTGACATGAACGATGCAAATCTTCCCCGTCCAACTAGTCTAGGCATGCTCCTGACCACCCCTGCTCACACCGTCCATCATTATTGGAGAAGATTTGACAATGCCTTCATGCGCCCTGTGTTCGGTGGGAGGGGATTCGTGCCCAACGTTCCTGGCTCGCCAACAGCAAGGAGTGTCGAATAGTTTGAATGAGAAGTAAAAGCATACCTTTTAACTCAACATTGCAAGTTCTCTTGCTAGTGATCTTCATTTAGGTTAAAATCTACAATTATATACCTTAGGTGTTTGCTAGTCACACGTGTATATATACAGAAAAACTATACACTCATATGTTCATAAACACAGCTCTCTATATATATTTATATATATATCTCATATTGACCCTCACTTTTTTCGTGACAGGGCTCTCTAATTAGATGTCATCTATATATATTATTATACTTGTTTGTTGAATAGTTTCAAGGGAAACAGCGAAACGAATTGTAACATTTATGATTTTGCCTTCTAGTTGTAATGTCTCTCTTAATGCATTACTAAGTGTGTCAATCCTTCTCAATGTAAATTGTAAATACGTATAGTTCTTCTATTTGCCACCAAGCTTAGCAATTTGTTTTTTAAATATTTACACAAAATAAAATTAAAATTTTAGTTAAATTACTATTTTAACATTTTTTTTTGTAATTCAAACCGTTAACAGGGATGAAATAGGCAGCAATATGACGGATCATTAGACCCAACACGAAAGGTAGTACAGGGCCTGTGTAAGAAATTCTGTTAATTTTTTCTTGTTCAATTAATGAATTGCTTAAAACTAGTTTCTATTTTTTTATTATAATTTTTTTGCTACTTCAGACTTTTTCAGAACATATAATTTTAAGAACTAAATGTAATTCTGAGACTATTATATATATAAAAACTGCATCAACATGGTACAATTTAAAATATATATATATATATATACTCTAATAAAAAAGTAAGGACATTCAAAGCTTCTTCAATAAAAAGGGGCAATGTCATGAAAATACATTGTTAGTGGAGTTCTAAAATTAGTTGCAACTATTTATTAAGGCTCCGTTGTTTTAAAATATTTTTGGAAAAGAAAATTTTTTTTTAAGGTAATTTATTTATTTTTTGATGTTTGGCAAATGTTTAAGTTGGGCGAAACATATAAAATAATTTACCAAAAATTAATAAATATGTTATTTTTGCTGAATTTTAATATATATTTTTTTTTCATACGACAATCAACATCAAAAAATAAAAAATTACCGTAAAAAAAAGTACTTCATTGCTAAAGATTGCTTGAGAAGAAAGTTTTAGAAAATCCCAAATCAATATTTTAAATGTCAAAGTCCAAATTATAATAGGAAAACTATCTCTTTCTCTCTCTATATACAAACCCTATCACTCCTCTTGTCTGATATCGATCTTCAACCATGAACACAACTACAGAATCTTCATCATCATCCCCACCATTGATGTTCTTCTTAGGAGAGCTTTCCGGCGAGACCAAACACGCCTTCTTCAACCCCATGAACAAGGCATTGGTTCAATACCAGATCTCAGAACTCGAACCTCAACTCGAGTGCCTCTCGACTCGATACGGTTGGTTACTTTTGTTGTCCCGCGAAACTTCTTCCCTCTTCTTCTTCAATCCCGTCTCTCACAAGAAGATCCAACTCCCTTACAGGAAGTCCATCTTCAACGCCGCCGCTTTCTCCGCGCCACCCACCTCGCCGGACTGCACCGTCTACGCCGTCGTCATGCCCACCTTCAGATTCAAGCTCCGTGTTGATACTTTGCGTGTAGGTCAAGAAAAGAGAAAGTGGGTCCGTCATAGTATTAGACCCTCGGAAATTGAATGCAGTACCGGTGTTCAAGCTGTTTGCTGTAACGGAAAACTTTATCTGGTCGACATGCATGGAAGGGTGGTTGTTTTTGACGGTGAAGATAATAGTTGGACTCGAATTCCCGGTAAATGTTTTGAAAGGATTTGGGACTCGTATTTCGTTGAGTTCAATGGAGATGTGTATGCAGGGAAGAAAGGTGGTTACGGGGCTGTGGAGAAGGTTTTTAAATTGAAGATTGAGAATGGTGTGAGTGAGTGGGTGGAGGTGGAGGATGTGGGTGGTGTTAGTTTGTTTCTTGGACCACACGGTTCTTGCGCTTTGCCGGTGAAAGGGATGGAGAACAAAGTGTTTGTGGCGGGAGATGGAGCTATATGCAAGTTTGGTGTCTACAATTTCAGTGGTGGTGAAGTCAATGAGGATGAGAAATTTGATCATCCAGCTTATAAGGGGTGGTATGTTCCCGTTTGGATAAATGAACAGCAACCAAGCAATCTCAAGTGAAGTTCGGGACTTAGTGCCTAGTGAGGTATTAAGTCTTAGGTTTGAATCGTCGGCTCCATACATAATTTAGGTTTATTTTTACTTGATTCGTGTGAAGGGATCTGGATTAACACGCAATTGTTGATGACTTTAGGATCCGTTTTGGAATTTATCTTTTTAGGAAAGTAATTTTGAATGACAAGTTTTATGTGATTGATTAATGGTCTGATAGTTTTGTGTGTTAGATTAGTGGTGAATGCTACAACTTCTATGATATTTATCAACATAATTTTGGATTTTAATATTAGAGGTGAACTGTTGCTTTTGTTTATACTGGTAGTTTCGGAATATTTTAAGGGATTATTGTGTATACATGTTGTTTTAGATCCTTTTTTTATCATTTTATGGAGTCGAAAATTTTTAACTCTTATTTCTCTATGGTTTTAAGTTTTAACTCTTATTTTGTCCAGAGGGAGTGCTGTTTTGCAATGACAAATTCACAAATAGATTATTGGTTAGTACTCTCTATTTTAAATAGGTCTCAGTAAAATTTTGACTTTGTTCATCTTTAATTTTATGTGACCATTAGTAAGAGCTTATTTTGCTCCTCCAACCATGTCATGAAAGTTGCAATGTTTTTATCATTGGATTTGGATCCTCTAAATTAAATATTTTCTAAATTATCTTTAAGTTAAATTCGTTACAAATTGATACAGTGATATTTAAAATCTATCTACCGCTCTCTAACGACGTTTATCTCTCTTATTTTTTCCAAAAAAAATTCCTTCCTCTCTCTCCTTCTCATTCCCACGATTGGAAAAATATTTTAAGAAAATGTGATTGTAAAACATGTAACTTTTACTGTAATGATTATTGTAATAGTAAGCATAAATATTGATGAAATTAGAAAAATACATCCAAAGGTCAAAAAGATGAGAGAGAACGTGATGTCGTATCATAAATGAATCAACTTAGGATAACTTAAAAAGAGAATATTTAACTTGAAAATCCAAGTCCTCATGCTCAACTCACTAACTTGGACATCCAAGTCCTCATGCTCAACTCACTAATTCGTGATTCAAAATCTTTACTCCAAATCACAATTTAGTGTGTCAAAAATAAATAAATAAAATAATATCATTATTTTAAAATTTCAACATAATTATTTACTCTCAAAATAATTATATTAAAGTTTTAAAACAATAATGTTAAACCCTAAATGGCCGGAATTCAGCAAATCCACGTGGGTAATGTTTGGCACCACTTTTACAAGCACCATAGAAAATGCCAAAACTCCCCTTGTCAAATTTGTCACATCATTATTGGAATCCAAATCTTGGAAATATTCCTTTTTTTTTTTTTTTTTTTTTTTTTCACTTCCAAGTTTCCAACTGTCTTTTAAATACCTTACCCAAAAAAAACACTAAACTCTTTTTAAATATTCACACACTTGAGAGTTAATATATAACTGTAATAGGTTCCTGGGCAGACTCCAGAAAGAGTTCCTTAGGATATACTCTTTTACATCAAGTTTACAATATTACATCAATACACAAAATAAACTGGCTGCCACCAAAATGTGACATACACCAGTTGTACACATACGTACGTACGTGTGTGTGTGTGTATTACTATTACAGAGCTAGAATTTTTTAAAGGACTCGGAGAAAAATTAGGTTCTCACATCTTGCATTAATGCAAGGGGGAACAAACTTAGGCAAAAATCATGTCATGCTGCTATAGGAAAGACAGAACAACATTTACGAATCACCAACGTCACCATTCTCTTCTACTCTCTCTTCCTTAATCGTTTCGAGTTTGGGAGAATTGGAGGGCTTTCGAGTCGAAACAATTGGGGACGGTGCGACCTCGATCCAAGGCTTCATCATGTGCATCAACTCCTTCTTGGCCATTTGAGTTTGAAATGAAAGAGACTCAACCCTTGGAATGACAAGAGAGATAAAGATATAGATGGTAACAATGATGATCAATGAACTCTCTCTTTCTCCTTTGTGTTTTGATGAGAAAGAGAGGATGGTAGTGGAAGGAAATTGGTGGATTGGGGTTTTTAGGGTTTGGTGATATGAGAGAGAGATGGGGTTGAATTGAATGTAATGAGAAGAAGCAAAAAGGTAGGGTTTATATAGGAGGGATCGATGGGCTTCAAATGTGGAAGTAATAACCATGAGAAAAATATCAAATGCATGTAGAGCTAACTGACGGTGCTCTCCAAATCCACGTGGCTTGATAATGGCTTCTAACAAATACACACCAGAAAAAAAAAAATTATATATATATATATATATATATAGAAGTTTTGTTTGGTGTGAATGGAAGATAGTTTAGGTGACCAAATGGGTGGAGGAGAGAGTGGTTGTGAAAAATGGGTATTGGCTATACTTGGGATGGCTCGTAACTAGCCACAAATATCATCGACAGTTTCTAAAAATATCAGATACTTTGACTCAATCATGCCTAGGTCATAGAGCTGAAGAGAAGGTCCACATTTAGGAGGGAGACCCGTGGGCTATGTTTTATGGATTTGGTGCCGGATACGAGTATGTATATATATGTATCATCTCCGAATAGAATGATACACGAATGCAGGTTAAATATTTATTTTATTAATTATTTTATTTTATTTTTTAGAGAAATAATATTTTTATCTAATATAATATTTAATATAGGTTTTTTTTTTTTTTTGATAAGTAATGTTTAATATAGGTATTTAACTCTTTTTAAAGTAATAACATAATGTAGTTGAATAATTTGATATGTTTTTTAAATACATGTCTAACAATATTCATTTTATAAATTATTTTATTTTATTTTCTAGAGAAGTAATATTTTTATCTAATATAATATTCAATATAGGTTTTTTTTTTTGATAAGTAATGTTTAATATAAATATTTAACTCTTTTTAAAGTAATAACATAATGTAATTGAATAATTTGATATGTTTTTTAAATACATGTCTAACAATATCTCATAGCCATGTCCGTGAGATATATGTCCGACACGAGTACTTCACCAATTTTGAAAAATCCATGTGACAGAAACCGTAGGACCAGTTTCGTTCAATTCCAGTTCGGGATGCAATTTACAAAAAGATAGATGTTAAACGTGTCAACCTTTTCGTAAAATAAGTCCCGAACTGGACAGAACAACTGTTACTTGTTTTTGTAAAGTAGGTGCTGAACTGGACAGAACACTATATACCATTCACTGGAAGGGAAATTTGTTTGGGGAGGGGTTAGACATAATAACAACCTACAAATATTTATGTATTTATGGATTTCTAACCCAAATCACAAGGATTAAATTTCTTTTTTCTCCAATAATAATTTTCTAAACAATTACAACTCTATATAAAAATAAAACTAATCAAATGAATTCATACCATATGCTAAAAATGAATTCATGCCAATCAAGTAATCTGAGGTTACACATTTTGTAATGACACAGAAATTTGGAAAGAAAAAAATTGCATGCTCTGTATATATAATAAAACAATACATTTGATGAACATAAGCCATACAAAATTCTATGAAATTTTTGGAAGAATGATTTCACAAAGATTAAAATCACCTTTACAAAAAAATATAAATGTATTCTCCTCTCTTGCATCCCACCAAACAAAAAGAGGGAAGAACAAAATGTATTCTCTAGGAATGTTCCATTAATCTCTTCTTCTCTCCCTTCCATCTAATTTTCTTCCATTCTACCAAACAGATCATAAGAGAAAAAAACAATAAAAAGAAATGGAAAGATAAGGGGAAAATAGCAAGTCGACAATTGTTTTTTATTTTTATTTTTCTCCCGAAAGGTAGGTGTAATTTTATAGATCAAATAATATTTACAGGCCCAAGGGAGAGTCCAGAGGCAGAGGTTCAGTCTTGGACTTGATTCAAATACACAGGCATATTAGCCCAATCCCAAACAGACCCAAAGATTGGCTTGACCAAAAATCCCCAAATTAAAGACTACCCACAAGGGACCTAAGAGTCAATTCAAAAAACGCGTTCAGCAATTACACAGGGAGAGCACAGCTATGCCAGCATCCTCTGAATGATCTCAGTCATTCAGAGGGAGGGGTTGGAAGGTCACATTCTGATACAATGTCAGAAGCTTTCGGACATTCAAACTTCACAAAGGAAACCAAATTCTTCCTCGTGACTGAAATGGGTTCTTTGCATAAAGGCGTTTACTGAGAGGAAAGAGTTACAAAAGATACTACGATTCCACTCAAGCCAGATGTTGTAGGACCAACGCATTGAGAGAGATTTTACAAACAAGAAATCGAAGGCTCTACCTTTCCAGTGGTGAGCAGCCCAAGGTGCAAATTGATTCCACGAGTCAGGAAGAAAATGGAACACCCCCTTTAGTTTGAATATATAACTCTAAATTGGGGCAACATAGGAGCATTTGAAGAAAAGGTGTGAATGTGACTCATTATCCAGATTGCAGAGGATTCTCTTCTCTAACTGCAGATGAACAAGTGATTTTTGTTCCAGAGTGAATAGCTTACTCCGAATAGCAAGCGAGAGCATGAAATTATGTTTTGGGATACCAGAATGAAACCAAGCCAAGTGAGACCATTGTAGATGAGGGCGAGGGTAAATGAACTTTAAGGTATGTAAGATAGATAATTTCCTGTGGGTGATGGGAGTTCATTTGAAGGAGTCATTTCAGCTCGAGTTTGGAAGAGGAAGGCCATGTGGTAATGAAAATTGGGGTATAAGAGTGAATATAGATGAAGGTAATACCCAACTGTTACCCTCAATCCCGATTTGCGGAAGCTCGTAATTGAAGATCAGTCACAAGGAGATGCAGAGGGCTAAGTGACCAATGTTCTAAATAAAAATATGGCATAGTTGATCCTAACCAAATTGGGGGAAGCAGGCAAGTTAATGTACCACCGTATACACCTTATACAGCAAAGAATAGGACCCTTTTACACCTTTATAAGGCAAAGAATAGGATTTCCTAGCGATATTTCGATAAAGCCAATTTTTTCTTTGGTACAAAAACATCCTACACATATGCCAGATAGGAACTATGTTTACCAATAAACACCAATTTAACATTGCATGATAAAATATTTCCTTTTACCCTCTTAATCTACAGCATAAATTAAGTAAGCCAACATATACCAGAAACTCCAGTATTCAATCACAAAACATACATTCACAAACTGCCACACAATATATATATATATATATATATATATATATATATATATATATATATATATAGTATCAAAATCAAAATATAAAACCAAAGAAATGCAGGAGGCCAAATGATTGAAAATAAATAAATTATATAGAAAATAACTTAAGAATCCTCCCATTCACCAAACAAAAGAAAAAAGTGGATTGAAATTACAAAACTAGATAAAAAAAAAGAAATTCTCACTTGATTTCTGTCATTCAATCCAGAGGAATTTCAACATCGCCGTCAGTTACTTCCTGCTGCAAGTCCTTTGGATCCTTTCCGTCGACCGTACATCCGACGGACACGCAAGTACCGAGGATCTCCTTGACCGTGCCACTCGAGTCCTTGGCCATCGATCTCGGCCGCATGATCTTCGCGATTTCGATCACGGCGTCCAGAGATATGTTGCCCGTGTGCTTGATGTTCTTCGTCTTCTTGCGGTCGCGCTCTGGTTCCTTCAAGGCTTTGATGACCAAAGCGGCGGCAGAGGGGACGACGGAGACCTTGGCCTGCCGATTCTGGACGGTGAGCTTCACGGTCACTCGGAGGCCCTTCCAGTCCTTCGCGGTCTCCTTCGCGATGTCTTCTCCGATCTTCTTCGGCGACAGGCCAAGCGGACCGATCTTAGGGGCGAGCGAACTCGCCGCTCCGACTTCACCGCCGGTGACCCGGACAAATACGTCGACGACCTGTGAGGGGTCGAACTTCGGTGGCATTGTCGCCGGAAGTGAGTGTTAGAGTTGTGTGCGTGTGAAAGAGATGTGCGGGAGGAAATCAAGGTTATAATCTAGGGTTTTGCAGAGTTTGATAGGAAATATCCGATTTTACATTTCAAAACCATTGGCTTTAAAATTTAGGCCTCGTTTGGATACACAGGAGAAAAGAAAGGAAATGAGTACAAGACAAAAGAAAGAAAAGAAAAAATAATAGCTATAATTTATATTTATATTTAAATAAATATATAAAAAAAAAATGAATTGACAATATTGTTATTTGTATAACACAAATAGGAAAAAAGAAGGAAAATAATAATAATAAAATTACCATCTTATCCTTTTTGGCAGGGTTAGTAGGTCAAAATCATTTCAGCCTCCCTAATCGCCTCCAACTGAAAAATCTACAAAATCCCTAATTGTTCTCATAGATCCCCTCTCTCTCTCTCCAACTATAAATTACAAAATTTACAAGAATCAGAAGATTAAAACCCATATCTATCAGTTTCCATTATTAGATTATTCCAAAAATTCAAACCAAACTACACACATATATATATATCTCCATCTCTCTATTCTTGTATGGGTTTTATTTTAAATTTTTTTCTAAAATCAACTAATCAAGGTCTGTAATTCTTGTTTTGTAACTCTCTCTCTCTGCAACTACAAACTATATATATATATATATATATATATATATATATATATATATATTTCAGCCTCCCTAATAGCCTCCATCGGTTCTCAGTCTCCCCTCTCTCTCTCTGCAATTGTAAAAATCAAAACCCATATTCGCATATCATTTCAGATTGTTAAACAAATCAAAACCCATATCTATTAGTTTCCATCACCCACTGTTCTAGTTCGGTCGCCGTTCGCAAAGCTCTAGCCGGCTGTCTCTCTCTGCAACTGCCAATTTATTGAAGAAGCTTGTGGTCATCAATATGTCATTAGCTCCCTTTCTCTCCAAATCTTGTCAATTTTGGAGGGATTCCAAATGACGGATTTGGAGGGATAGTTTCCAAATCATTTATTTCCCCTTCAAATCATCACATCCAAACACAATATTTCTTATCCTTTCCTTTCTTTTCTTTCCAAATCCCCCCAAATCTTCCCATCCAAACGAAACCTTAGGTCCAAAAAAAAATAAATGGAAAGAAAGGATATCCAATGTGACTTCAAATAGTTACTAAAATAATAATAGGAAATATCCGATTTTGCCTTTCAAAACCCTTGGCTTTAAAATTTAGGTCGAAAAATAAAAAGGAAGGAAAGGATATCCAATGTGATTTCAAATAGTACTAAAATAAAAACATGCTCAAACTCATATTACGAAATTGGCAATATTGGCATGTATGGCTGCAGTTGGGACTGGTTAGACGAATTTGAGGTATAACTTGAGCCTAACTCACCATATGAAATGTTAAACCCAAACCCAAACCCAACCCTAACCCTATCTTCAACCTTAACTATTCAACCGGAGCCCAACCCATCCTTCTACTTTTAAATTCGGGCTTGCAACTAGGACTTAAATTCCAGATTAAAACTTCGGGTTAATTCGGATTACTCATTTGGCTAATCTTTATACCAAAAATTTAATATGATTTTAAATTAATTTTAGATTAAATTGCTCTTAAACAAGAATAAGTTTAAAGATTCTTTGTAAATTTTTAATAAATTACAAACAAATTTTAGAAATTTAATTCTCCTAAATGTTAACATATAGATTTAACAAAAAAAAAAAAAAATTGAAACGAAAAAAAGTAATCATAGTTTAAATTTTATATATAATGTATTTAAAAATAAAAAAATATATAAAAATAATATTAGAATTTGGGTTCGGGTTGGCTCGAGTTGCTAGCACTTCAACCCAAGCCCAACCCTAATTAAATTCGAGTTGAGATTTTTCAATCAAGCCCAACCCTAATTGTAAAAATAATTGTCCAAGCCCGAGAAAAATCGGGCTGGGCTCGAGTTGGATTTGGGTTACCCAACCCAAGTTGCACCACTGTTGGTATGATATGGGCACTGTAGCGATAAAAGCAACCACAACGCAATAACACACTTATACAAATTCAATGTAGTGGAGAGACCAAGTATAAAAAAGCGTCATTTGCAAACCCGAACCTCATTTTTCTGCCTCTCGTTTCTCTCTCCTCTCCAACCCTATGGAGGCTGTAGACAATCAAATTTTATGGGCTTTTGTCTTCGTAAATTGACCCATCAAATATGGGTCTCATTTTTAATTAAATTATTTAATTGGCCCAAACTTGGTCAACTTAAATTATTTAATTAGTCGAGCCCAAATGATTAAATAAAAAGATAATTATTCTTAATAAAATATATTTGGAATGATTATTTTTATAGATAATTATCACAATATAATTGGCCCGACTCAGTTATAATCATGTCTTTGAAAGGACACATGTCATTATCCTATTAATCCAAGAAGCCTATAAATAGCGGTATGGGGGAAGGAGGAAAGGGTACAAAAATTGAGAATTCTAGAAATCCAAAATTACAGAAAATTCAGAAACTCTGAAGTCCAGAATTCTAGTGTAAAATACAGAAACTCTACCGGCATTCATCCCCAACACCCAATCCTTAAAGAAGAAAAGCAACAAGCACAACCAAAGTTGTGCCGTTCTTCCACAAATTCAATAAATTCTCTGAAGATGAAGAATAACAAACACATCCAAAGTTGTGTCGTTCTTCCTCAAATTCAACAAAGAACAATAAGCACATCAAAATCGTGTCGTTTTTTTTCTCCGTGATTCAACAAGTTAGAAAAATCAATAAACAACGTAACATTGTTCGATATCAAGTTTCGTCAGCCCTCAATCAGAAATCATCGGCGGTCTTCCTCAAGTACAAATTAAAGAAGATTATCAACAAATTGATTCAAGATCAAGCTTCACCAGCCCTTAGATCCAACCAACAAAGGAGATCGAATTAGAGGATATTTTCTTTCTTTTGTAAAGAATATCAAAGAAGATTGTACTCGAATTTTTATAAATTAATAAATTATTATTTGTTCCCTATTTCGCTATTTAATTTGCAGATATGAAATTTGTGTGCACAGATTTCTGGCACACTTGGTGGGACCTTCTCTACCTCTCATTTCTTTCTCCAATATCAAATCTTTAACAAATTCTCATCGTCAGAATTTATGGCTTTCGACAAGATTCAGATGAAAAGCAAAAATACCTCCGAGGACACCGCAGTAATGGCGAACAATATCAATACCACCACAAAAGGTGGTAAGAATGTTCCAACTCCGTCAAGTGGTATCAACATCTCTACAAGTCCAATAATGCGGAACATAGCCAAAGCATCTGTTCCCGTCAAAAGGTAACATGATACGGTGAGAGTTAACTTCGTCAAATCCATTAAACCAACAAATCAAACTCATAACACTTTTGCCTCTCTAGGGGCAAAGGAAAAGGTTTATGCAAACTCAGAGGTTTAACCTATCTTAGAGAAATTGTTGTCAAATCCAAGCTCAATGCTGGTCCACCCAAAGCCAAAGACCTTCTCTGATATAGTAACTGTGTCAGTCATGAGGACTAGTACTACCTCGTATAGCCCGTGCAATTAAAAGACTACGACAAACTCTCAAGGAGCAAGATCTAAAAATTGCCTCGCTGACATAAAGGTTAAAATTGAGTAACCACATTGCTGAGTCAAGCAAAGGCCAAATTCATCCTTCTGATTCCATGCCAGAGATCACTCCAATTGATGATCAGAATGTCATGTCTGCCAACCAAACAATTGAAGCTGCCTCCGTCGCCTCACTTTCTGTCCAACAACTTCAAGACATGATAATGAATTGTATAAGAGAATAATACAGTGGTGTCCCTCAAATTTCTCGCATGTACTCAAAGCCTTACACAGAAAGAATTAACAGCTTAAAAATGCCACAGTTGGGTATCAACCTCCAAAGCTTCAACAGTTTGACGAAAAAGGCAATCCCAAGCAACATGTTGCACACTTCGTGGAGACTTGCGGCAATGCTGGTACATATGGAGACTTCCTTATCAAGCAATTTGTTCATTCATTTAAAGGGAATGCATTTAATTAGTACACAGACCTCAAAGCTAAGAGTATTGACAGTTGGGAGCAGATGGAGCGAGAATTTCTCAACCGATTCTATAGTATTCATAGAATAATAAGCATGTTAGAGCTTACTAACACCAAACAAATGAAGGACGAGCCTGTGGTTGACTACATCAATTGTTAGAGTGCTCTAAGTCTTGACTGCAAAGATCGTTTGTCTGAAATTTCTGCAGTTGAAGCATGTATGCAAGGCATGTATTAGGAGCTTCTTTACATCATACAAGGGATTAAGCTTCGGACATTTGAAGAACTTGTTACTTAAGCCCATGACATTGAGCTTAGCATGAAAAATCATAGTGCTAGGGAACCCGACAACCTTGTTCAAGACGAGGGAAGTGAGTCCGAAGAGGAAGACAAAATATTTTTTAACTCGGATGATGAAGTAATTACATATTTCATCATCTCCAAAGACTTGAATCAAGAAACACATCATGCTACTATAACGACTTCAATGGAAGGTACTCAGTCGAAGGGGCATTAAGTCAAGGAAACCGTAGTAGAAGACAAAACTTGTCGAGCAAATCTGCTTTCAAGTACAAGAAGATTCTTGCAAAGTTGAAGAATAATTAAAGATCAAGTGCTCCCAGATACGAGCCTAAACTGTCGATAACACTCCTTGACACGAGTTTAAACTCTCTACCTGAAAAAAAAAAAATTAAAAAAACTCCATGATATGAGAATAAACTATCTAAAAAAAAAAACTACGTGATGATTTGATCCTTGTTCAGGGTACGTAGGCATCTTAGAGGTTTGTTCCAAGTTCAGTCCCAAAAAAAGACTCCTTAGTGTTGCAAAATGGCAAAGTATGCTCGTCACAAGATATCAAAAGGGCTCATCGCAATTTGTCAACTTTGCTTGTTGTCAAGATATTATTGTCAACTTAACACCCAATAATAAAAGTACTCGTCGTACCCTGTCAACTTGACACGCCACCGAATTGTAGTTGTAAAAGAAATTTTGGTCTGTCACCAAAGTGTAGATGCAAACAATAATTTTGGTTTTGTCACTAGAGTTATAGTTGCAAAGGAAAATTAAATCCGTCGGCAAAGTGTAGTTGCAAAGAATAAT